AAAATTAATTTAATTTGGGCCCCGTTTATTTCTTTGAGTCTGATTTTGTTGTTTAATTAATTTTTTTGGGGGGTAATGTTTATTTTTGCATATTATTTTTTGCATGAAGTAATTTCTGGAACCAAACTCGCGTTTTTGTACACATTTCTTTCTAGAGGTAAGTAATTTCCAATTTATTAAGAAAACCAGTGTATAATGTGTGTGTTTAATAATATATTACAAAATGACTATAATTATTTTAGGTGAATTGGAACAGAGATCCATTGTTACAGCTACTTTTGTTCATTAAGTAGGTAGATGAATGTCTGGACAGCTTTAGGGTGGATTCATAAACTCGTTCAGTTCGAGTTGGCAAGACATAACCACAAATTCCACAAAATAAAATTATATTTTGATGTTATTTTTGTTTTAATTATATTTGTAGATGGTGTTGATTATAAAATAATTATGAATCCGTTACAATTTCTTATCCAAAACATACCGTGTCATTCTGCTCTGTTTATGTTGAACTCGAACTGAGCGTGAACTGTACGCGAACTGAACGTAGTTTATGAATCCACCCTTAATGGCAGCACAAAGTTCCTACCTACTAGAAAAGTAAAATGTATATGGAGTAAAAAATCTGCACATGTAGTATTGGCAAAGCACTTTTGAAATGATTAGAGATTGGCTATTTCTTACATACACCTACCTCTATTAGCCACTCTAAAGGAAGAATAAAAAATGAATCACAAAAGGGCAGAATTTTAAATCAGGATGCATTGGAAAATAAATTTGGGGACATCAGGTCGGTTTTGGATTTTAGAGAGAGATCAATCTCAAGAAAAGTTAATTTATCCTGCAGAACAACCAGTAGTTTAAGTAGGATTTGCTATAACTTTATTATAAGATTTCCTTGATAATAAATTGTAATATAGGTACCAATTGTTTCAAATGAAATTGAAAAAGAGTTAAATACAAAATTAGATTTTTCATGGGTAAAATGTTATATTAATTCAAACATTGTTAGGTAATATAATAAGGGAATATGGCAAATAGGTATACCCTGGTGGTGTAAGAGACAGGTAAGGGGCAATGACAAAAAATTACAAAAATGTATTCATCTTTAAATAGTGTTTATTATTAAACTATTATTTGCTATGTTTGAAAAGTACCTCCTGCTGCAGAACAGATCGAATAGATTAGACTACTAGTTGGAGAAGGTCCACCTAGTAACCAAATTAGGAGACTAGGAAAACTTTTACATGACCGGGGACACAACAGGAATGCACACGCACAAGATAAACAAATGAAATAACAGGGGTAAGCCTTCAGCAATGTCCTGTTTAAATGATCCTTCATTCCCTTCTAGAAGGCATGGCATATAAATCTATTGATCTTGATGACCCTAAGAGGAGTTAGCAGGGGATGTACGGAATGGGTCTAGCAGGTTTCGATCCAGTTTACAGGATGGGATCCTACTCGACTCGGGCCTTATATATTTGTGTTGAGTGTATGTTTGTGTTTGTTTCGTTTCCATGGTTTCTATTAAAACAAACAGTCATAACATATCCATACCTTTTTGTAACGTAAGCAACATTTGTTCAAATGGCACTTATGATAGTCTGGCAAAAAGGTATCGATATACTCTATACTTTATAAAATATTTGTTACATTAGTTTTTAAATATATTATGAATATATAACAACTGTTACTTTCTTTGTAATTTGTTACGAAATAATACGAGGTACTTTTTAAACGAAGCAATTGTAGTTTGTTTTTCTGTACCTTACGAAAATATAATTTATAGAAAAAGAGTTTGGTGTATTATTTTTCCAAGTTTAAATATTTAATAATAAATAGAATTTTCAAGTTTTTTTTAGCGAAATTTACAAGAGTAATAAAAACTATGTTCACTGCTTATATTAAACTGATTAAAACTTCCTTTATTAAAATGATTATTTATATGATAAAAAATTTGATGTTATTGGAAGCTTTTATATTTTTTTAATATACAGTGAAACAATAGTTTTTGTTTCTCCTGTAAATTTGTACAGAAAAATATTTATTTCTGAATCCATGTTTGAATTTCCCGCCCTAAAGCATTTTTAATTTTCCCGCTATTTACTAGTGGCGCCATCATAGACTGGTTGTGGTTACAATGGCCCAAATAACTTTTACCGAACAAAAAAAATACATTGAGTTACACGTCTCGCTGGATTGTCTCTGATATAAGTTAATACCCATGTGGGTTTAGAAGAACGATATTAAAAATTTCATCGGTACAAATAAACATGTCAATAGCTGCCGCAGTTTAAAATTAATTTGATATAGTACAGGATTAAAGTACTGAGGAACATAATTAATGCACTTTAGAAACAATGACCTTCACCAGAGACCTGAAGATGCACACCGTTAATCCACTGAACTCCGCACTAGTGGAACGCACGATCCAGTCGACCTAATCATGCGCATTACGAAGTTTTTGGAAAAAATCCATCGAAAATTACACATATATGCATTATCAGGACTGGAACACCTCCTCCGCCCGCCTATTTTCTATTACGATATTTTCTGATCTTGAACTTGCATACACTAAAATTAATTTTAATGAAACGGTAGCTATATATTCTATGATTTGTCTAAGGCATTCGATTGTCTCGTTCTTTGAGTGTTATTGCAAAAACTTTGAACCTAATTGAACCTAAGCAAATAGTAAAGAACTACTATGCACTCTTTTAGATAAAAGTTGGGAAGTCCCTCAGGGTTCTGTATTGAGTTCCATTTTATTCCTTTTTTATATAAATTACTACTCAACTTAAGATTGCAAGTACTTTCACTCTATTTGCTGATGATACTACGATTTTATGGCACATAAATAACCCCTGCGTTATTTATAACACAATATCTTGTGACATTGTGACAAGTAGATCATTAATGAGACCAACTAATGCCTGATTTTGGAGCATTAACTGGATGGATTAATACACGGTAAGCGGAAAAATGTACAGTCGGTTTCATATAAAATGCGTACTTAAAAAAAAACCAAATATTAAAAAGCGCAGGTTTAGCGCTTTTTAATATGCATCTGAAGCACGACTTCCTAATTGTTGTTGTTTCATGACACATATAGACGGGTGCAAAATAAATAGTGCAACTGCCCTTAAAAATAACTATTCAATTATTATTAATTCATTTCAGATAAAACACGTACATGGACAAGCAAATACAATAGTTATTTCTCAGTGTAGTTGCGCTATTTATTTTGCACCCGTCTTGTACCTAAAACATACTTACAAGACTGTAAAGTTTATTATTGGCGATGGAAAAGAATGAGCTAAGAAATTTTTTTTGTTATTTGATTATTTTCATTTTATGGTTCTCTTCTCCATCAGAATAACTGAACAAAAAATAGTCGTCATATACATTAGAATAATTATTTTCAGGGGTTTGTTAAAAATTTCAATAAAATTTGGTTCCGGGGACATCTTGTTATTAGTGACGTATTTTTTCTTTATGAAAGTGCATGTTTTTTTATAATTTTTGATTATGCTATCAAACCTCCACGATATTGTCTCATTACCATCAGAACAAACTACTATGTCATAAAATTGGGGCTAACAATATCGGGGTGGGGAATAAAAATTTTTAGAATGTAAAGTCTCGGAAATACCATTCACTTTCTTTATTGTTTAAATGTAAAATGGATGAAACAAAAAGTTACTAGATTTTGGCATGTCGAAGATTAAATTACCTCATGTTATTATGTCAGGTGGCAGTTATAAAAATAATTTTGAATTTGTCAATTTGTTAAAAATTTGTATATTTTGATTTTCAACAAAATGGTGCAACGATTTAGTGATCAATCAAAGCCCTAAACGCAGTTTCCTAGTTTAAGAGACACAAATCTATTTTTCTACGATCACTATCCAAAGTAGGCTTTTGCACATTCAAATCTAACTAGAAAGTTGACGTTTTTCACGTATTGTCATAATTTGACATTAATAAAGTAACTTTGGCACAAGCTTGTCTATTTTCATTTGAATTAAATAAATAAAACAAACTGTAGGCTAATCTAAAATATTTTAATTGACTTCCTAATATTTTAAATCATCCAACAGTATTTTCTGTAAATAATTAAATCATAAATGATTACCGACCTATAAGTACTAAAATATTTTTTTCTCTACGAAGAGTAGGCTTATGTCAAATAAACTTACAATATTATAATGACAGAAGGAAACCCATTTCTAATAAAATTACATTATTTATTTTATTTTGGTGTGATCGTAAAAAAAATCTTGTATGTAATTCGAGCAGAAAGTCCTTTAGCAGTTTCGACAGATTGCCAAAGTGCTACTGTCTGCTCTCAATACACAAATAGTTATTGAGCGGCTCTTGGAAAGAGGTACAATCAAATGGCTGCAGAGATATTAAATATTTCGCAGAAAACTATCTAAGGACTTACACTGCAAACGGTTTCATAACGAAAAAAATTTAACTACAAAGTCGTCACCGGAAGATGTATTTCAGACTTGGTCAGAAGCTTTGAATAATGTGAGTGGGACAATTAAGTAAGACACACTAAAAACATAATTGACTCCGATTGGGAAAAATACAAGCAATTAGATGTTTCTGATCTAGAACCAATTATTATTAATTTAGGTACAACGGCAAGTAGTGATGAGACTTAATCAGAGTCCAGTTGTGAAGAAAATGATATTGATTAAAAACATTTACATGAGTTATCCAATAAATATTTTCTGTGCTTCTTGTTATAATATATTTTTTAATAAAGCATCTGTTTCATGAATTTGCACTTGTTTTAGATTATCTTTAAACACTCGAATAATGCTAAAAACCAATGTTAAGCTGGGAAATGTATTTATAAAGTAGGTAGATATTAAATCGTTCTAGTATTTGTTAATTAATTATTTTTTTATCAAGAGTAGGAAATAATATTAATTTCATATATGTATACAGGATTAAAGGACTGAGAAAAAAAAACAGTTTTTGCTTACCTTCTATCACAGACAAATTGCCATTCAATGGCTCTTGAAGAATTAAAATACGTGTGATCCCATAGAAACGAGTCACATTTAGAGACTGATTGTGTTGTTGTGTTCATCCAACTGCATACATCATACTTTCCCGAATCGAGTTTATTGTAATATCTTGATGAAATTGTATTGTTTAGTTTGGTGTACGTATCATTTATATCGTAGCCTGGAATTTTACATCTAAAAGATACAAAAACAAAACATTTTAACCTATTTTGTGATACTAGGTATTTGTTTCGTTCTTTTGTCTTGATTTTACACTAACCTATGATCTGGAACAGCCGCAACTGTTACCAAAGACATCATGTTTATACCAGCTGTCAATGCCGAAAGTATATGTAAACTGTACTGCCATGCTTGATATTTTCCGAAGTCCCCTGAAAAGAAAAATAAAAAAATTAATTTTAATCATATTTATAAATATTAAAATTAATTCATATTATGTGAATTAAAATTACACCTTAACAACCACGTTTAAATTTTTATCATTGATATTGAAGCCCTATAGCCACCCCTACCAGTAGTTATTTATGTACCAAGGGATTTGTAGATATCATAACGCACGAAGGGAGACATTTTATTTTACACGAAATAGTAATTTTTCAAGACCGACCAGAAAATATACACTTTCTGAACAGACTTTCCGGTCTTGATCGGCAAAACGTTACTTTCTGGACGAAAAATTGTTCAGAAAGTGTATATTTTCTAGTCTGTCTTAAAAAAAGCTGTTCGCAAACAATTTTAACACACAAAAATCATTAGAAGAAAGGAACTAAGCCTGAACTGAAATTAAAGGCTAAAGGTAAGATTTTAGAGAATTATTCTGCATCACTGTCTACGAACCGTGACTCTGGGTAATGAAATTAATTTTTTAAATCCAATCAGGATGATTGTTATTGGTCGATGTAATATACTAGTAATCTAATTTCATGCATTTTTCTAGTAGTTTAATGACAGTTTTTAATAGTTTGACAGTATGTGATTACTTTTCAATTTATGTGAGATTTTTTCCAATTATATAGAGAAAAGGGTAGCCATAGTAACGCAAAACCTTTTATCTTGTAAGTTTATGAGGAGGAATTCGAAAGATTTAAAGAATGGTTGTCCAAAAATGGGGCATTATCCATTATCTATTACTTGGCTTTATTGGCGCATTTTCAAGAATGTTCAAATTGTTTTTTTTTTCTTATTGCTATAAGTGAGTTTACATTTTTTTTATTTTAGTCTGAGAAACGTTCCCTAAACGCGTTGCGGACGAAATATTCGATTTTGAAATCTACTTTTATTGTTAACCCAATACTGACAGTGCAGATTATAATCGATAATAAGATGAAATAAAAATATATCTTAAGAACACCGACAAAAATGAGTTTTTAATAATTAACTTTTATTAAATTTTCATTTCTGCATCTATCTCTAAGCGTTTTTGCCGAATTTAATAAGGTACATTTCTTAACAAATTGGCACTAATATTATTTCAATGCTCCGATTCCTACATAAGAAAATTAATTTTAAATGGATTTTAACAAGTTTTAATTGATTTTTATTAAATTTCATTCTTTTATTTCCTCTATAATCACTTTTGACGATTTTCTTTTATATTTTTTAATAATTTAGCACTAATTTTAATTCAACACATCACAGGAAAATTATTTTCTTTAGTTGATTTTTATTAAATTTCACTCCTAAGCACGGTTTTCGATTTTCCTAAGATGTATTTCCTTACAATTTTGCATTAATTGTTTTCAACACTCTGTTCCCTTCATAGAAAAATATATTTCGACGTCACTGAATGTTCAAGTATTTTCGGTAAACTGACTGCTGAAAAGTGGTTGCTAACATCACACCGGCATTTTCATTCTAACGAACTGTCAAACAATTAGGCATTCCAACGACCTGTCAAACAATAGGTGCCAGTGGGAAATTCTTGTATATTTAAGGGGGTAGCGACATAGTCTTGCAACTTGGACGCTATTTTTATTCGAAGTAGTACTCGCCAAGCCTGCCAATTGATGAAGAAATGTATAGGTGGGTTTTTTAAATATTATTTTTATTGTGTTTGACATAAAATATTTAAATGTAATCCATTATTCATGATTTTACGTAAAGTAGATAGAATACACCATATGTCGCCACCCTTAGACATACCAAACCTGCCCACTGGTAATTAATTTGTTTGGAATGCCTAATTAGGCATTCCAAAGACTTGTCAAACAGTGGGAAGGGCTCGTATATCTAAGGGGGTTGTGACATAGTCTTCTATCTTGGACGCTATTTTTGTTCGAAATAATAGTCGCCAAGCCTGCCAATTTATGAAAAATGTAAATGCGATATTTTAAAAACTAATATATTCATTGTGTTCGACATAAAATATTTAAATTTAATCCATTATTCATAATTTAACGTATTTAAGGTAGAATACAACGTGTGTCGCGACCCTCTAGAGCAGCCATACTCAACCTGCGGCCCGCGGGCCACATGCGGCTCTCCAAGCTTTTTTGCAGCCCGAAACACTATTATTAAGTAGGTGCTTTTTAAAACAAAAGGTTTCCATTTTTAAAATTTTGAGCAAAATGTATTGTATTCAGTTGCTAATAGTGTGTCCACCAAAACCAGATAAGAGATATACAACTTATTTTTGCTAAATGTATTTAGTCCACTGAACTATATATTAAACTGGAAGACCAAAGCCGATCAACAAAATCAAGCCGCATAGCGAGGTGATATTTGACACTTCGGCGCCAACATGTGCGTATCGAAATGTACTAAAAAGGATCATCAAAATTAAATTTAACACTTATTACATTCAACTAGAAAACTTTTAATTTAAGAAAATCACTTAAAAATGATTTTTGATTAATACGCAGCTGAAACAAATGTTCCAATAATAATTATTATTAAAATAGGGCGTTAATGATAAAAAATAATATAATTTATCATAGTACGCCCGTGAAAAATGTGACGTAGAATGCTTAAAATTGACAGTCTGGCGCACAAATTGTCATGCGCACCGACCGTTTTTTTCACCCATGTCGGCTGAGAAATTAGGAGTAGGGTTTATGTCATATAGCCATCCAGTTTAATATCAAGGTCGGTGATTTAGTCCGATTCCTAATAGTGTTTCTGCCAAAACAAGATAAAGGCCAGAACACCTATTTTTGTTAAGTTGTTAAGTGTATTTGTTGAAATACTTCAACCGAGATTTTAAAATTTTGCCCAAGCCATTTGTTTTGCCTAGAGCCGTCTCTGGCCTTTCTCAATAGGTCCGAAATCGACAAGGTGCTTATGTCACCCTTTCTTTCCACGATACAGCTAACCTACAAAAATCAATAAATGATAACACGTGACACCTGAATCGCCGTGATGAATGATTGATTGGTCAAGCCTTAACAAGTGATTGGTCTAGCTGTAACAAGCGGAGATGCTGACGCCCGACTCCATATTATTTTCGCCCTAAAACGACCAGAAGTACTTATTAAATCATCTAAACACCAGCTTTTCGCATTGCTTAAAAAACCCATAGCCCAATCGGATTAGTATTTTAGATTCTGAAAAATTCGAAGCAGCAATTTTCCTTCGGAATTCGTTGGAGGGGGTCTCTGGTAGTCTAAATTCAAAAAGTTGGGATTCCAAAGTTGTCGTTACCTCCGCCATCTTGATTTAAAGGGTTATTTTTTGTATCTTGAATAACTCATTTATTTTCAATTTTACACGGAAAATAGTTTTTACAAAAGTTATTTAAAATTAAATTTCCTACAATTCTGCTTTTTTTTGTACGATCGATTTTTTTCGATTTATACCCGAAAAGAGGGGGTGAATTTTTGGTTATAGAATAACTCGTTTATTTTCAATTTTACGAGAAAAATTGTTATAAACAAAGTTGTTTAAAATTAAATTTCCTACAATTCTGCTTTTTTTTTGTACGATCGATTTTTTTCGATTTATACCCGAAAAGAGGGGGTGAATTTTTGGTTATAGAATAACTCGTTTATTTTCAATTTTACGAGAAAAATTGTTATAAACAATGTTGTTTAAAATTAAATTTCCTACAATTCTGCTTTTTTTTGTAAGATCGATTTTTTTCGATTTATACCCGAAAAGAGGGGGTGAATTTTTGGTTATAGAATAACTCGTTTATTTTCAATTTTACGAGAAAAATTGTTATAAACAAAGTTGTTTAAAATTAAATTTCCTACAATTCTGCTTTTTTTTTGTAAGATCGATTTTTTTCGATTTATACCCGAAAAGAGCAGGTGAATTTTTGGTTATAGAATAACTCGTTTATTTTCAATTTTACGAGAAAAATTGTTATAAACAAAGTTGTTTAAAATTAAATTTCCTACAATTCTGCTTTTTTTTGTACGATCGATTTTTTTCGATTTATACCCGAAAAGAGGGGGTGAATTTTTGGTTATAGAATAACTCGTTTATTTTCAATTTTACGAGAAAAATTGTTATAAACAAAGTTGTTTAAAATTAAATTTCCTACAATTCTGCTTTTTTTTGTATGATCGATTTTTTCGATTTATACCCGAAAAGAGGGGGTGAATTTTTGGTTATAGAATAACTCATTTATTTTCAATTTTACGAGAAAAATTGCTATAAACAAAGTTGTTTAAAATTAAATTTCCTACAATTCTGCTTTTTTTTGTACGATCGATTTTTTTAGATTTATACCCGAAAAGAGGGGGTGCATTTTTGATTATAGAATAACTCGTTTATTTTCAATTTTACGAGAAAAATTGTTACAAACAAAGTTGTTTAAAATTAAATTTCCTACAATTCTGTTTTTTTTTTGTACGATCGATTTTTTTTATTTATCCCTGAGAAGAGTGGGGGTGAACCTAAGTATTGTATTGTCACGTTTATTATTGATGTTGTACCATTATTTTTCTGTTTGTTTTTTTTTGCTGATACCTGGAATTAAAAAGAAGCGTGATAATACAATGATAAGAGTTTACCCCCACTCTTCTCAGGGATAAATACAAAAAAATCGAGCGTACAAAAAAAACAGAATTGTAGGAAATTTAATTTTAAACAACTTTGTTTATAACAATTTTTCTCGTAAAATTGAAAATAAACGAGTTATTCTATAACCAAAAATTCACCCCCTCTTTTCGGGTATAAATCGAAAAAAATCGATCGTACAAAAAAAAGCAGAATTGTAGGAAATTTAATTTTAAACAACTTTGTTTATAACAATTTTTCTCGTAAAATTGATAATAAACGAGTTATTATATAACCAAAAATTCACCCCCTCTTTTCGGGTATAAATCGAAAAAATCGATCGTACAAAAAAAGCAGAATTGTAGGAAATTTAATTTTAAATAACTTTTGTGAAAACTATTTTCCGTGTAAAATTGAAAATAAATGAGTT